CCCCAAAACCCCAAAACCCCAAAACCCCAAAACCCCAAAACCCCAAAACCCCAAAACCCCAAAACCCCATATTTATTTTCAACCAAAGGCTTATAGTTTTCAGGAAAGTTATAAATTACATCTCACAACTTTAGACTTGTGCATGAACTGCTTTTCTTCAGTATCATACACAACTCCAAAGTTCCTCCAAGGGGCCTTTGGAGGTGAAAGGTTTTTAGCTGACTGGATCTGCCTCTTGATATCCTTGTCATGAAACTCGAACTGGTAGCCCGAGTCTTCAATAGCGGCATTTAAGTGACGAGCTGTATTTTCCAAGCATACTAGCTTGTTCTTCTGACCTTCGTTCTTAGTCATGATTCATTTGATCTTCTTGACTATGTTCTCCAAAATTTTATCATTCTTGACCAAACTTTCCTTAATTTTAGTGCATTCTGTGTTAAAGTGGTATTGAACGTTCTTATTTTCTCTAAGAATCCTCTCAGAAGCTACATCAGATCGTAGTAATGTAGAATGCTTAATGGGCATTAATATTTCTCTTTTCTTATGATTAGGGATTCATTGAGAAATGTATTGGGACTTAATTTGGCTCTGGATTTTTTTTCAGTCAAGAATTGAGTCTGGCACCTCTCTATTAAATAATGCTACAGAGTCTTTATCTATCATATTATAGCGTTTTCAAAGTTTAAGGAAACTCCTGGTATCTTTAAAAGTATCGTGACTCTATTAAGTACTTACAATGTTCAATATGTTTTGGGTATTTATGGTGAGGGACTAGTCCCCATCACAAAGTTCAGGCTTTGTTCTCATAAGTTAACCTACTATTCTGTTTAATGTTCTCAATAAAAAATTTAAAATCTTTGGAGGAAATGCTCACCCATTTCAAATTCCTCTTAACCCTCTCTTTCATTTCTCTCTTGTCCATGAGTTTCTTTTTTCAGGTAAAACTGTACCGGGTGACATTATCCAGTATTAGCCTATTCTCCATTTTTACTATTAATATAGGATAAAGGTACAGTAAAGATTAGTGGGCAAATAGATTACACAGTGCTAATTTATGGTTTATTTATGAGGATATTAGGGAAATTGAGATTTCAATTTGGAGTAGGGGTTTCGGGGTTTTGGGGTTTTGGGGTTTTGGGGTTTTGGGG